TTTGTTGAGAACAAAATTGTTGGCAAGTTTTTGAATGCGACTCGATGTCAGGCATTTGCTCCGAAAGGGAGATGTTCGTCCGGTACAACCGTCGTCTTTGCTGTGGTGATACCCACTTCGAATCGGTGAGCCCAGGCACAACTCCCCTTAAGTGCTTCGTAATCTCAAATTTGTCTTCCCATTTCATCGAGAAAGCATTCTCGAGCAGAAACCATTTTGGTCTCGCCTCATTCATTTCTCTAATCTACTTTTCGGCCCGTGCAATCCATGTTTTCCCTTTACCATTCCCCGATGCTCAGGCCTTGCCAAATCCACATACATTTCCCCCGGGTCCTTTCGCCCGACTCTCCTCAGGTCCTTCCAATTTTGCATTCATATCACTCTTTGTCCTTTCTTGTTCCTTGCTTATTTTTAACTTTTTTCATGCATGCTGCCCAGTTCATCCCTTGTGCATCTCTCTTTCAGACACCTTGTCAGACCTGTTTCCAAATGCTCATCTCTTTCCCAGCCTGCCAGTCTTTCTCTCAAATCCATACATAGTCCATCATACAAGTCTTTTATTTTCCAAACGTCTTACTTGGCCCATTTTTAAACTTATGCCAAATCAATCACGCAAGTCGCTTGCCAGGCCTTTTCTCAAGCTCATGCAACGCCAATTTCTCACTCATTTCTCTTCTGGACATCTTGCCAGACCTTTTCTCAAGCCTGCGCAAAGTCAATTACTCATCTATTCTTCTCTTCTGGACATCTTGCCAGACTTTTTTTTCAAGCTCATGCAAAGTTAATTACTCATTCATTCTTTTCTTTTGGACATCTTGCCAGACTTTTTCTCAAGCCTGCGCAAAGTCGATTACTCATTCATTCTTACGCTCATGGTACCCTTCTCTTTTGCACGCTTTTTCTTTGGTAGATGGCACACCTTCCCCCCACTCAAAATGCGATGTCCCCATCGCACGACTGGTTCTCACTCGGAGGTACGCAGACCTTGGCCCACCAACGAGTAGGCGGATGCCGGCCCATCAGCCCCAAAAAGGAAGGGTGATCAGTCCTCCCCCTACTGATAACTCACCTCATCCCCTACTCCGTCCGACCTTTTGCCGCTTATGAGACGGGCGTCATCACTGAGGTACCTCCTCATATCTGGCAGGCAGGTTCAGTCCAAAACCTCCCAGGACCCCGTCTTGCCGCAAAGGCTTTCTCGCGAATCGTTCCTCCCGAGTGATGTTTTCTTGGATCCGGCCTCTTCCTTTCAAGAGAGTTGGGGCTCTCAATTAGTCCACGAGTGCAGTGACGAAGACCTCACAATTAGTCCTGGAGCGGTTGTAATGTTCCAGCGGGGCGGTGTCACTCGCCCCGTGGTGGTTGTGGCTTCCACCCGGTACCACGCCCAACTCCTCCCTTCTGGACAGTGCTGCTCAACTTAACGCGAGCCGCCGTGGTCCATTCCAAGCGGCCATGCCGCCCTTCAACGACATGGCGTGTGGTTGGGGAGAACAAAAGAGACTAGAAAAAAAGAATGGCTCTCTCGCCCATTTGGTTCTCTCACCCTTTGACGTTTAGGCGTTCAACACGAGGCGCAATTTGAACCTCCCGACTAGAGCTCGTTGTCGGGGTCAGTTCCGGACGTCCCGCACCGATCCAAGTGGTAGGTGCAAGGTCCTTTAACCCTCATCCCCTTACAAGAGGAACAGGTCACGCTGAGACTTTTTCCCTTACATAGATAGAGGTCTTGGGGTCGCTGTGCGAACACCGGTATTCCCCTCCTGATGAGGCCAAAGACTATAAAAAGAGAAAATCTATTTCAATGTTATTTCTAAGTCCATTTCAAGTTGCCTAGGGTCCCCTGCCTATGCAATGCAATATTCAGACCTCAATTATTCAATCCAATGCTTCTTCCAAGGCTGATTCTCATGGCTGGTCTGACAGCCTCTTATCAACAAGGCCACCGTCACGGCCGGTCTGGCGGTCATTCTCTCAATAGCCATTTTTCAAGACTGACCCTTCCGCCCACTCAATCCTCAATTTTCTCATTCCTCAACACCCAATTTCTGTGACTGTCCCAATGGTCCCTGTCCTTCTCGGCTCTTAAGGCTCCGCCTTCTTTATCGTGTCCTTCTCTTTCGCATTTTCCTTCCGTCCCCTTGGCAATTTTCAGTGGCCGACCCACCGGCCTTTTCCATTTCCTCCATTCAACTCATTGGCTATTTCAACGACCGACCCACCGGCCTTTTC